TCCTGCTCCCAGTACTTTTTATGCATTTTGTGTTGACGGCTTTAAAATGCAAGTAGGTAGTGTTTGGTGCCTCTGGCCATATGCAAACCCAGACTGTACCGAGATTTAATAACTCTTCAGGCAAAGTTTTAAGTACAGAAAACACAGGTGTTACAAGAAACTAAGCCACAGAAGGATATTTGGGAGTAGTTTAGCAAAGAGACAAGAAAAAACAAGCCAGGTGCCAGACACATACCCACAAAATCAACTGGGAAATAGCGCAAGAGGGAGAAAAATGTGACCAGTCTCCCTTTGGGGACAATCATAGAAGGGTTTGGGTTGGAAGCGACCTTAAAGATCATTTAGTTCCAACCCCCCTGCCATGGGCAGGGACACCTTCTACTAGACCAGGTTGCTCACAGCCCTGTCTAACCTGGCCTTGAACACTTCCAGACATGGGGCATCCACAAGTTCTCTGTGCAACCTGTTCCACTGTCTCACCACTCTCATTGTGAAAAATGTTTTCCTTCTAGCTAATCTTATTCTACCCTCTTTCAGTTTAAAGCCTTTACCCCTTGTCCTTTCACTACATACCCTTGTAAAAAGTCCCTCTCCAGCTTTCCTGTAGGCCCCTGTCAGTTACTGGAAGGCTGCAATAAGGTCTCCCTGGAGCCTTCTCTTCTCCAGGATTAACAACCCCAACTCGCTCAGCCTGTCCTCACAGGAGAGGTGCTCCATCCCTCCGATCATTTTGGTGGCCCTCCTCTGGACCTGCTCCAACAGGTCCATGTCTTCCCTGTGCTGAGGGCTCCAGAGCTGGACGCAGGACTCCAGGTGGGGTCTCAGCAGAGCGCAGTAGAGGGGCAGAATCCCCTCCCTCGACCTGCTGGCCACGCTGCTTTGGATGCAGCCCAGGATACGCTTGGCCTTCTGGGCTGCGAGTGCACATTGCTGGCTCATGTCCAGCGCCCCCAAGTCCTTCCCAGCAGGTCTGCTCTCAATCCCTTCATCCCCCAGCCTGTATTGATACCGGGGGTTGCCCCAACCCAGGTGCAGGACCCTGTACTTGGCCTTGTTGAACCTTATGCAGTTCACATGGGCCCATTCCTCAAGCTCATCCAGGTCCCTCTGGATGGCATCCCTTCCCTCCAGGATGTTGACTGCACCACACAGCTTGGTGTCGTTGGCAAACTTGCTGAGGGTGCACTTGATCCCACCATCCCTTGTCGCTGACAAAGATGTTAAACAGCACCGGTCCCAATACCGACCTCTGAGGAATGCCACTTGTCACTGGTCTCCACTTGAACATCAAGCCGTTGACCACAACTCTTTAAATCCAACCATCCAGCCAATTCTTTATCTACTGATTGGTCCATCTGTCAAATCCATGTTTCTCCAATTTAGAGACAAGGATGTCATGTGGGACAGTGTAAAATACTTTGCACAAGTCCATGTAGATGATGTCAGTCACTCTTCCTTTATCCACCAAAGTTGTTATGCAATCGTAGAAGGCCACCAAATTTGTCAGGCATGATTTGCCCTTAGTGAAGCCATGTTGGCTGTCACCAACCACCTTCTTATTGTCCACATGCCTTCGCATAGTTTCCAGGAGGATATGCTGCATGATCTTGCTGGGCACAGAGGCGAGACTGACTGGCCTGTAGTTCCCTGGGTCTTCCTTTTTTCCCTTTTTCCCTTTTTAAAGATGGGGGTTATGTTTCCCCTTTTCTAATTGGTGGGAACTTCACTGAAATAGCTTACTGTTATTATTTACTCCCTTCTGCATCACAGCTCAAGTTGTAACCCTACAGCTGACATCCATGTGTCTTTATTACATGAGGAAATCTAATTAGTAATCATTTTATTTAACTGATTTGATTAATATTAAATTGGAATTCTTTGGCAGAAAAAATAAAACGCAATTCTCCTGGGTGGCATTTAACCATCACAATAATTTTTGCTCTTTCTGCAGTCCCATGCCCCAGTCACTAGAAAGTTCCTAATTTCTGAAATAAAATTGATGAAATCCTACAAAGAACAGGACTGCTTCACTCCCGAGTCCAATGCTACAGTGTAGTAAAAAATAAACAGCAGATCATCATGAATTTAAATGCTGTATCATAATGCACAGGCTTAACAGGACTGAAGTAGGATTGCCTTGATCCTGTTTATTTTGGCATTTCCTAGATTCTGATTTCTTCAGAATTTGAAACTTCAATGAGAGTTTAATGGAAATTCTGTGGAAGCTTAATTTTACCCTCTGTGATACAGAACAGTATATTGGGAGGGTCGCTGGTCTTTTGAAAAGAAGAGTAGTCTGGTTGAGTATTCTACTAATAGAATAACAACTTTTCCTTTCACACTTCATCTCACAGCTGGAGGAAACTCATGCCCCCCATCTAGGTACAAGGAAGCACAACTACCAAAATGACATGGAGAAAAACAATAAAAAATCCACAGAAGTAAAAAAGGAGTTGTCTGATTACACTACTGTCAAAAATCTCCAAATTCCTAGATGCAATCTCTGCCTCTCTTGCATAAACATGCCAAATAGTTTCTAGTTTGTTTTCAATCTAAAAGGGAGTGAGTAACAAAGCAGCTATTATAAGCTTTACCTCATCATAAAGCTTAAGATTCAACATCAACATAGGAAACGGTCCCTCTGAAGATCATTCTTCTGTTACTACTTTCTAAACATAATAGTTTAATACTGCAAGAATTTTTTAAAATACTTCTTATAGCTACTAGAAATACAGGATACAATAATGTGTCGATCTGATGGATTCCGCTGACGTGTCTTTTCCAATTGAGATAATTGCTTAGCTTCTCGGTTCTTTGCTGTTAAAGTTGCTTTAAGATCATCCTGGAAATAAAATGTTTTAGACAGGTTTGAAATAGATCTAGAATAACACAAAATGCACTTTTCTTCATACATGCATCACCTAGAAAACATGAACAAAACTTCTGCTTTAAACAAAAACAGATTTTACTGTTCTTACCCTGTTAAATGATCCCCTGAAAGAGAAGTCAGTGAGGACCAAGGAGTTTAGTACCTTGCACAACTCTCTGTAGCACAAACTATAATTTAAAATATGGGGGGGAGGGGAGGGGCGGGGAAGAGAAAGATATTTACAGCTTTTCATGGAAAGTACAGTAGATGGTCAAAATCTGAGATCCCCAAAGCAGTAAGAAGACAGGCCCATTCCGGGCTTAGTAATGGAATAAAGATGGCACTGAGAAAGAAAAAGTGGCATCAAAGAAATCAGTAAGAAAAAACCAAAACAGGCAGCAGTCACTACCAATCAGAATATATGAAGAACACAAAACTGCTACACAGACCTTAAGGTGCCATAGAAAATCCACAGCTGAAAGGGTTAAACTGCATATTTATATATGCAGTTAGTAAGGTGTTTTAAATACATTTGGAATAAAATACATCCTAGTAATTATGTAGCTGGAGAAGATGAAAATTATTCATCTAGAAAAGGCAGAAACTGTTGATAAGTATTTTTGCTCCTCATTTCCGAAGAAGTAGGATGTACTTCCAGGAAGATCTGTGACAGTTTAAGAATGTTTACATACCACTCTCAAATTCTTGTTCATGCTATAAAACTGTGTTTTGCAAACAGTTTGGCATACATGGAATTTAAAATTGTCAATGACATATTTATCACTCCATTGACCTTGGTATGAGAAATGATATTAATTTTGATGGCTCTAATTTAAAGGAGCAGTACCTTAGAACAAGGAGAACTACAGCCAAAAGGAATCAGTCTAACAAAATCTGAGGCAGGAGGTGGGCATACATTTCAAACAGTCATTTCCTCTAAAAAGACCAGTTCCCATCTACCAATCCAGAACAAAGTGGATTAAAGCTGTTAAAAATATAATCTCACGAAGCTGTCTGTGCTCCTTCCCTGGATTTCAGAATTTTAATGTGGTTGTAGGTCTCCTTCACCTAGAAAGACATGCAACCAAGAATGTGTCTCTTTCAAAAAGTTCTGTGATACTGTGACTAGATTAGGAAAGGCAGGCAAGAAACCAGCATGGCTGAGTTGAGACCTGCTGGGCAAACTAAAGGGCAAGAAGGAAATGCACAGGCAGTGGAAGCAGGGATGGGTATCTCGGGATGAGTACCGGGACGCTGCCCTGTAGGGGGGCGTTGTGTAGGGATGGGGCCAGGAAGGCCAAGGCACAGCTGGAGTTGAACTTGGCAAGGGATGCAAAGAATAATAAGGGCTTCTACAGGTATGTCATCCAGAAAATGAAGGTCAAAGAAAGCATACCCTCAATAAGCAAGACTGGCAACAATGGATGAGGAGAAGGCTGAGGTACTCAATGACTTCTTTGCCTCAGTCTCCACTGGCAGTGCCTGTTCCCACACCTCTCAAAGGGATGTACTGCAAGACAGGGACTGGAGGTACAAAGTCCCTCCCACTGTAAAAGATCAGGTTCGAGACCACCTGAGGAACCTGAACATGGACAAGTGGGACCTGACGAGATGCATCCCAGAGTCCTGAGGGAACTGGCTGATGTAGTTGCCAAGACACGCTCCATGATATCTGAAAAGTCCTGGCAGTCAGGCAAAGTCCCTGGAGACTGGAGAAAGGGAAACATTGCACCCATTTTTAAAAAAGGTAGCAAGAAGGACGCTGGGAACTACCAACCTCTCAGCCTCACCTCTGTGCCTGGGAAGAGCATGGAACAGATCCTCCTAGGTGGTCTGCAAAGGCACGCAGAGGACAGGGAGGCAATTTGAGACAGCCAGCATGGCTTCAGCAAGGGCAAATCCTGCCTGACCAACCTAGTGGCCTTCTAGGATGGAATAACCACATCAGTGGACAAGGGAAGAGCTACCGATGTTGTCTATCTGAATTTCTGTAAGGCCTTTGACACAGTCCCCACAACATCCTTCTCTCTAAATTGGAGAGAGAAGGATTTCATGGGTGGACTATTGGGTAGATAAGGAATTGGATAGATGGTGGCACGTAGAGGGTAGTGGTCAATGCCTCAATGTCCAGATGGATGATGAGCGGTGTCCCTCTGGGGTCTGTGTTGGGACCAGTACTCTTTAATATCTTCATCAATGACATAATGGGACCAAGTGCACGGTCAGCAAGTTTGCACATGACACCAAGCTGTGTGGTGCGGTTGACATGCCTGAGGGATGGCATGCCATCCAGAGGGACCTGGACAAGCTCAAGGACCGGGCCCACGTGAACCTCATGAGGTTCAACAAGGCCAAGTGCAGGGTCCTGCACCTGGGTTGGGGCAACCCCCGGTATCAATACAGGCTGGGGGATGAAGGGATCAAGAGCAGACCTGCAGAGAAGGACTTGGGGTACTGGGGGATGAGAAGCTAGACATGAGCCAGCAATGTGCACTCATAGCCCAGAAGGCCAAGCGTATCCTGGGCTGCATCCAAAGAAGCGTGGCCAGCAGGTCAAGGGAGGGGATTCTGCCCCTCTACTGTGCTCTAGCGAGACCCTACCTGGAGTCCTGCATCCAGCTCTGGAGCCCTCAGCACAGGAAAGACATGGACCTGTTGGAGCAGGTCCAGAGGAGGCCACCAAAATGATCAGAGGGATGGAGCACCTCTCCTGTGAGGATAGGCTGAGCAAGTTGGGGTTGTTAATCCTGGAGAAGAGAAGGCTCCAGGGAGACCTTATTGCAGCCTTCCCATACTTAAAGGGGGCCTATAAGAAAGATGGAGATAGAGTTTTTAGCAGGGCCTGTTGCAATAGGACAAGGGGCAATCGTTTTAAATTAAAAGATTTCAACTAGATATAAGGAAGAAATTTTTCCCAGCGAGGGTGGTGAAACACTGGCACAGGTTGCCCAGAGAGGTGGTAGCTGCCCCATCCCTGGAAACATTCCAGGTCAGATTGGATGGGGCTCTGAGCAACCTGATCTAGTTGAAGATGTCCCTGCTGATTGCAGGGGGGTTGGACTAGATGACCTTTAAAGGACCCTTCCAACCCAAACTATTCTATGATTCTGTGATCACCAGTCAATGACAAGTACAAGTGTGCCACTTTTCAGAGTGCTCTGTTTCTTCAATAATGACTCTCTGCATGAGGTCAGGATCAAAACACAGCTTCCATCCCTACTGTCTGTATGTCATTGTGTATATCATCTTTAGGGACACAGAGCTAGTTTCTGATAATAAAAACAACTGCATCTTTAGCCCATCAAAACTAATTTTGCTGCTCTTCTTTCAAAAGGGAATTACACCACCTTTAAGGCCATCTAAAAGACTGCTTTCTCCTGTCTGAAAACCATGTGGCTGCAAGAAAAGGAAGAATAGAAAAAAAGATTTTTATTGCTTAACATTTTAAATTTAAAGTTAAAGGTAGAGAAAGAGAAGAGAAAAACATACTTATTTTTGCCATAGAACAAAGCAGCTTTGTATCTAACAGTCACAGCTACATGCTTAGTGTTATTTATTGACTAAGTCCTGTTAACAGCACAAACGTTCTAGGCCCATTTAAAACAGTCAATTAGATTTAACGCTGTGGCTGAAAGGGTTCTGACTTTTATGCAGAATATGCTTGAGACTGCTAAGGAAACCACTAGAGTTGCCATTATAAAATTCAGTATTTTCTTTATAGCACATAATGACTTTGGCAATACCTACAGGGACTGCACTGTTCCCTTCTCTACCTCTGTTCTCTGTAGCAACACAGGCAATCAAACATCATTCTCTGCTAGCCAAAGCCTGACAAAGATTTAGTGCTACTGTGGCTATAGTGGTGGCGCTATATATAAGTTTTGGATGAAAAATGGGTTTTACTAGCATCTAAATACCTTCATCCAGAAAAAAACAGAGCATCACAGAGCTCTTTAATCTCAGTGGAACATATAATAAGAACAAAGATTAGGTGAGGTCTTTCTACTAACCGGTAACTACCAGAAACAGTCCTACATTCCCCTCCACTGTCTTCAGACCAAGATTTGATACGGTTTTGGAAAATATGCTTGAATGACACCCAAGGAAAAATGGAATGGAATAGCCAGTGAGATAAAGGACAGATACAGAGAATATAAAATTATTCATAGTCTCTCTGGCTTTAAACTATGAATTCATGTCACACTTAAGAACTCTGGTCAGCCATCTAATTTCAAACACACAGAAGTACAGCTACAGTCCATCCACCAGACAATATGCTGGCAGATCCTCATCACTGTACTGTTACCTGCTTTAGTCACTGAAGTTATTAAAGCAAACCAATCCTTTCTTCTGCGGGTGGATCACCTTGGTTTTATGATGTCCTGTTTTATGCGAAGAAAAGGAACCAGGAACAGAGTTGCCAAAAAGCAGAAATGTGAAGATTCATATACAGAACAGTGAAACAGAAAGAAACCCTGAAATCCTACATTTAAGCTGCATTACAGGACAAGAATATTATACTAGCTTCCACTGAAGCTGCCAAATCCTGCTCCAGAGTGCTACTCAGCATAATAAACCAGGACATGTGAATAAAACAACTTTATTGCATTAGCAGTTAAACGACAGCACTATTCTGACTGACCTCGGCCTCTTTAAAGCATTTAGTATCACAGGACATTGATGTCTTGCCCCACAGAAATAGCAACAGTTCTTTTAGATACAGCACAAAAATAGTTTGTGTACACTCTGGAACAGATCCAATAAGTAGCAGCGGGAACATCCCCTTTATAAAAAGTGCTACAATGACATATTCTGCCTGGTTTTACTTAATCAGCTAATGTAGTTAGAGGTAAAGCAGTCCTACAACTAGCACCCTGTGCTAGCTTTACATGAGTGACAAAAAATTTACTTTTCCACTCAAAATGTCCCAGTGTTTAGAGATGATAGCTGAAGATCAAACAGTTGAAGTTTTAACCAAGGTTTATGGTAATGGGCAGGGTAAAAAAAAAAAAAAAAATTAATGGCCTACATCTTTAGTGATGTCTTAGTCCAAAGGTACATTGATAAAATAGTTAATTCCACCTACAGTTTAAGAATACTCTTGTACTCCTCAGTGTAGCTAAGATAAACATTATGTAATGCTTTCTGGCATTCTGAAAGGCAAAGACAACAGGAAATGCCATTCACTGTTGCAAGGAATGACCTGGCTTCCGTTGCTTCTATACTCACCGTTACTGGCCATCAGTGGCAATGCACCTCAAGATACCTTCAATGCTTCAGAAGCCCGAAGCACTGCTGTCATGCTCTGTGCCTCCTCAGCAACGCTACTGCCACAAACACATGACACTTGTCCTCCACCCTCAATATTTATATCCTATAGAATACTCAGTTTTAGATCTCACAAACTGGGTTTCAGAGTGACTATTAAGATACCAAATTCTATGATCCAGGCTCTATAGTCTAGAACCCTGCTAAGGACTACCACATATAGTACCACTCAAGTGCAGAATGCGTTTCCTTCATAACTGTTTCTTTAACAACCAAGTGAAATAGCTGTGCAGTAAGTTCCAAACACTGTACTCGGTTCTTCACTGTACTGAAAAGATTCAAGAACAAAAACATGAAAAATGCTAGTTTGAGATGCAATGCCATAATGTACTCAAACTAACCATGATGAACACACTGTAAGATTTTTGTATGTTAAATACTATCAAATAGCGATCATTTTACCTTTTGATTTGTATAGATTATGATATATACATGAATTACAGATTTGAGTTTATAGGATGAAGATATCCTCTATGTAGTATATAAGTATTATGAACAACTACTTTCCTCCTATAAACTAGTATCTGCTCATTACAATTTACTTGCTCAACTTTTCGGGAACATTTCAAATCCCTATATACAGTGTTTCCAGAGTATAGTGAATGAAGAGAACTCAGTTTTTTGTGTATCTTCAGGGCATCCTGATGACTTTGCAGGACAGAGAGGGATTCAGGCCATTACCTATCTGTCAGTTTCAAAAACTTTCTTCTACATTATGAACTTCAGTGTAGAATGCAATTCATGCAATTCTAAGTTGGAAAAGCTGTTAAAGGCAGCTTATAGATGACTAAGAGCCAAAAGCATTACATATAATTTACCTTTTAGAACTCTACATAAATACCAACAACAACAATCATAATGACATTATTTATAACGAAAAACATCCTGAATTTCCACTATCCAGGAAGTTTCACACTATCCACAATGCCTTTTTTTAGCATTTGCTTGGCTCCAAGAGTCTGAACATCCTTGTCTTCACCTCAAAGCTTTTTCCTCCAACATTGTATAGAGTAATACATCTGAATTGAAGCTATGTAATTTAGTTAGACTGATTATTGCAATATGAAAAATCAGAACCACTCCCCCCTGTAAAGTAGAAGTTTCCAACTGAGTGGCCAGAACACCAAAATGTACCTTGTGAGAAAACAGACGTTTAACCTACCCTTTTAAGTTTCACTATGGTCCCGTAACTTTTCAGAGGTTCAACAACCTTGGCTTCAAGCCTGTCAACCTACAAAGGAAAACACAAGGTCACTAAAATCAGCTGCATCTGTGGTGTGCAGAAACAGGAAACAATTCATTTACTAGTGACTCATTAGGAATTTAGTCCATATATGCTGAAAATATAATGGGATGGAGGTTTTAAAAAATATTGCAAAACCCAGAGTCAATTAAATTAATCAGTAAGTCATTTATATTTTGAGAAGCTCAAGCTCATTTCTAGTGGAATTCCTTTTTCTTCATTGGCAATACATCAGGATAAATAAAACATGGAGATTCTAACAACTGAGTACTAAATACATCAAACACTGCATCTTGGAGATCCATAGCTTTCTATCTAAAGTTAAAGATCAATGTATTTGCTCTACACTTGTTGATAGATTATGGACTAAGCTGTCTTTGCTATCAAACATATGAAATGCAACACATCTGTTCTTAAAAATAAAGAACATAAAGTACAGAAAATAATAAAAATATCAACAACAGCGTGTGCAAAATGCATGAATGCTTTCACAGATGAGTGCACCTGAATTTTTGTTTCAATTCTAGTTAGAAAAACAGCTACATATGGTTAGACAGGCAATTGGGTAAGACCTGCCTGCTTGTCAAAATCGACAATACTGCCTGAGTCACCGCAGCATAAGCTGCCGCTGACTTTGGACCAGTCAGTCATCTGGCCCATCGCTGTTATGTCCAAATTAGGACAAGGTGCATACCTCTACCAGGAAGGGACAGACATTATACTCCCCTCTAAACTGGCAGTTCCCAGTCAGCCAAAATCTATGCCAACTGAGCAAGCATTTTTTCCTTCACTACACTCTGCCTGTACACTGTCAAACAATTTCCCTTAAACTACCAATAGAATAGAATGGAATAGAGCAGTAAGGCTCTAAATGAAGCACATGATATAGATATACCAAAAAAACTGACCATCTTGCTTTACTTACCCTTCCACATGTTGTGGAAGTACCTCACACCTCAGCAGTTACATATCTTGCACTGCAGCTGAAGACCAGAAATTGATAACCCTTATAAGCTAATTTTGTCTTGCTCACATTGTCAATATATATGAAAAATGTTAATTAGCCTGATGCCCAAAAGAAATAAAGCTGAGATGATCTATTTGGCTTTCATGATCAAAGGAGAACTTGATTTAAAGGCTAAAAGCTTCTCTTTTCCTTTGCTGCTTTTGCCTTTTCTCCTTCAAAGGGCAGTGGTGGTTTGGGGACAGGCATGGTAGGAGAATGTAGGTAGGCCAAATACCAGTTTTTAAAAACATACTTAAAAATTGAAAGAAGCAAACCTCAAGTTGTTACATAGGTACCTCGAAATTACAGATTCATAGTTTAAAGGTGAAAACAGACCGAGAGATCACAAAGGTTCACATACACATTTGGCCATAATATAAATGTACCCTATTAACAGAGGGATAAATTGCTGTTACATCAATTGAAGCATAAGGACCTATGTGTGGCTCCGCTGGAGCCTGATGCATAACAGCTTATGAAAAAAAATAAAAACTGCACTATCCACACCCTTGGATTTCTTACTACTCCTTAAAAATCTGGCCTTAAATACACTGTTAAAGATCCATGTGTATTTCTTGTTTTTCAAACCCTCTACTTAGTATACTCACTAGATACCTCATAGATCAACTTCTTTCAAAAGGTTTTCTTTTTCTACTTTGTTAATATAGAAAGATGACTTGCAATGCTTCTTTTTTTAATTAAAAAAGTCATATCTGAAAACATCAAGAATGTCAACTACTCTTGTCTCTTTTTTAAATTATAATGATTCTTAGCTTTTCAAAATTATAAATGGGAATTTTCTCCGCCCTACTGAAAGATATGTAGATATCTTCAGTAGGGCATAGAAAGTATTGATACATATCTATCTATGAAGATAGATGTGTATTAAATCTCAGCATTTGGAATTCTGGACGATAAGTTACAGTTTGACTGACCCCGCACATAGATGTGTAAGTGGCATAAATACCTTTCTTTATGCTCTCACTTTATCTAGCAGAAATGACTACAGTGTCACGTGTGGTCCAAATCAAGTTTGTACTTTTACTGTTGAATTAGAGGCTTACGAAATCTAAGGTGGTCCCCGACAGCACCTCAGAGGGGCTGTCAATGCCCCATGAAGGATTCCAGTTAGTATTCTCTTCCATACTGCTTCTGATAACAGACTCAGCAAAACGAAAATGACTGGTTTTACCTCAGCTGCTGCTAGACAACTCAAGTCACAAAATTAAAAGAACACATTATCAACCATAAATCATAATCCAAGACTTGTCCTGTCTCAGATTCTGGGAGTGCTTGTGTGGATAGTTTCACTGACTTCAGTAGGACTAATCACAGGCAGTTTTCACTAAAGTTATTAGCAGAGTAAATCATGAATGCTTTGGCAGCCTATCCTGCTCTGCCACTAATATATTTTGAAGTGTTTTGTCCTATGTTTCTCTCGTGATTGTAGAGTATATCTTTTCCCTTTTAACTGCAGATAAGTAACTGAAAAGTTCAGATGGCAACACAACACATACAGCTTTAATTTTGTACCTCTGCCTGGCGATAATCCTGAAGTCTGGAAAATTCATCTGCAAAGTTTTTCAGTCCAACTTTTAAGTTTGGTGTCTCTGTGGCTGCATATGCATATATTTCATTTACTAGAAGATCTGCTTTGTCTCGTAGTCTGGCAGTTTTACGTACATATCCAGCAAATATTTGGCACAATTCACCAAAATGTTTTTCCACATTTGAAACAGCATCTTGTATTTGTCTAGTTTGATTGTCCCTGGATACCAAAGAAAACATAAGTGAAAAATAAGAAGAGTACAAATGTTTACAACACATGCAGAAGAAAAACTATATAATTGTACTATTAATAATTTATACATGATTTAGACATCTCATTTCAGGGCAAAACAGAAATCTATTCTTAAAAAGATACTGCTGTTACAGTCTGATGTAATATGTGCCTGTTTATGAACGAATAACAAAAAAACAAGGCAGGGTTTATACTTAACAATAAATAGATCCAATAGAGAAAAAAGCAAGTCACAAAAATCGACTCAAGCTTTCCTCCTGTGGTTAAGCAAAAGCTCACTATTACTGTTGGTATTAATTACTAACATAGTGGTACCACACGCAGGTCTCAAACAAGACTGGGTCATACAGCTTCCTGCAAGAGTCTGCGATCTAAACAGAAAAGTCAATGGTTGGAGAAATTAGGCAGTAGAGGGCAAATCTGTAGAGGTATTAAATGCTCTTTAAATTGTGAACCAGTATGAAACTGCTCCTGGTCAACACTACAGAGAATAAATATCCCCGAGAATTTGAGAAGAAAAGTGAACGGGCACAAGTCCACAGGTGAAAACTCTAAAAACACAGAAAGAACATTCATTACACAACAGATTATTTTCTCTTAAATTATATTAATTATTTTTTTATTTGAACAAAATGTCAGTATGTTTCATTATGAATGATCTAGATAAGTCATTCTGAGTTTTTAAATCATGTATTTCATTTGATATTTTGCTTTCCTATTACTACATCATTTGATAGTCTTGCTTTAGTTATGCGTCAGTGATACTAATAAACCAAATTAGTGTCAGTGAATTCATGCCAGTTGTTGTTAATCTGACTGAATCAACTACAGGACAATTTAGCTAACAGTAACTGCCAGATACTGGATCCTAAAAAGTCTCCATGGTCTACACGAGATGATTCATGTAAAGTGCTGGAATTCTCAGGAAGACAATTCACTTGTACCACCCCCTTGGTGAGGGACAGAAACGAGAACTTCCTTCATACCCTTCAGCTATCCCAGCTCCAAATGCTGACCAATATTTAACTATTGACTTAATATCACAACACATGAAAATCAGAAAAATTGGAAGAAATTTAATACTTGAAGACTAAAAAAACAATGCAGTCAATTCAAATGAAGAACACCTTTCTTCAAGAACTATTCAGAAAAAATATTTCAGGCCGAAGTTCTGCTATGGGCAAAAACCCCATTGTGATGCTTCATGGCAAGCAGTCCAGGAGACTGTTCAAAAGAGGTTTTGTTCAAAGAAAAAAAAAAAAATTCCAAGTAAGTTGTTCATCCTTCAGGACACGCTTGAGCATGGAATCATTCGAATAGGAAAGGTTTCACCCAGTGAGTGGGAAAGCAAGAGTCTCATTAAGTATTAATAAAGTTGCTTTTCAAAATTAATAGTACCTGATAAAATCTTCAGTAAAAGGTACATCCTTTCTATTTTATTGGAAGGTCTTCATGTCAGAAAGTGTTCCTCTCCCAGGGGAAAGCATGAAGCACGTTTCCTCACCCACTTTACAATTTTGATCTCACAGTACTCCCATGCAAATAATATTTAATTTTGGGACATGAAACACTGCATTTCCTTAACTGGGGGTGTGAAAAGTTCCCCCCCACCCCCAATTACTTCTGACCGTTTAGAGGCGGCCACAAAATTATCAGCGAGAGGCCCGATTAAATCGTCAAGTCTTTACTTCATCTCCGCATAGTACACTAAGCCTAGGAAAGTTTTGCGGCCTTTACCTGAGGAAAACAGAGGCGGATCCCCACCCCTAAGGAGGGTC